CCTCCACGCAGCACGCCCTTGTTGACCAAACAAAACCCAGATTTTCTTCTACATACAAAATGAGGTCATTAATCCAGCGGTGTCCACCGGCGGCGCTGTCAGCCGTTGGTGTTGAACGTCATCCTGGGTGTGTCGCAGCCCTCTTGGAACACCTGCCTTTGTGCAGTGCCAAACTTTTCAGTTTCACAGCTCATGAGCTGCAGCTCTTCTACTTGACTCCCTCGGGAGTCCAGTCTCGGTTTGACCTCTGACTGAGAATCACAGATTCATCTTTGTGAAGCTGCAGCATTTTTAACAGGAACAATGAACGAGACTTTAGTTCCACATGACAAATGAAAATACAATGACACGCAGAACAATCTCACCGAGTTGGAGAGGATTTGACCCGTGTTTCCTTTTTACATAAACTGTGGTTTCCATCTGGTCGATCTTTTACACAGGTCTGATGGTTGGACAGAGAGCTGTCTCACTGACTGCTTCTTTCATCACTGATCTTTCTACAGTCCTGTTGAATGGATTTCTGCTCGTCTCCTTGACCATCAATCTTTCATGCTTCAGCACAGCAAACTATTCTCCATCCTTAACATCGTCTGTGTAAAGTCAGTGCCACAGCACACCAATAAAACACAACAAGTAAAAAGGACTACACATATTCAACATGGGGTCCGTGGACCCTAGTTATATATTATGGTGTGTTCGTACACACCACTTCATGGAAACACATTTATAAAATATCTGAAGAATGACAAGAGATCTCTGCTCCATCTCTTCCTCTAAACTGAGGAAGAGTTTCTACAGAACCCAAAACGTTGGCGTTATTTCACCACACTGTTTCCAGTATATTATTAATGCTGTTGTTGCTACACAAAGGAAACAATGCTATGATTTGTCAGAAATTTAGAAAGCAAGCTCAACAACAGTTGTGCACTGACAAACCTGAGATCAGTGAGTCTGAAACATGACATATGCTTGCAACAAATGGTCCACAGAACAATTAGAGGCAGCTATTTTATCATAGCATATCTCACCAATTACAAATGCCTCTGTGCCTGCTCAAGATCAAAGAGCATCAAACCTCAGATAGTTTCGCATTTCTGTCATTGAAAATCACAAGCTTAAGTTGTAAATTTTGCAAAAGGTCGAATATAAGAACCACGACACAGCTGTCATTGAAAATCATAAGCTTAAGTTGTAAATTTTGCACAAGGTCGAATATAAGAACCACGACACAGGGCATTTCCTGGAAAGTACAAAAGTATCTTTTCTTACTTCAGAAATTCTTCCTCAAGCATGAATTTTGTCATTGTCTATTTAAGTGTATCTATTCTACAGAACTGTTTTGAGTTTGACCGTAACCAAGCAACCACTAAAACAGACCTCAATAAAGGGAGGACAATCTGTGTGTCTAAGTGAGTAACAATAACCTTCGACCCACAGGCCTGTAGTCAGTGGGAGTCTGGCGAGTGTTCATGCTTCTGTGAAGTCAGCACTGATAGCATGACTTCACACTCAGTGAGTGGGAGGGGCCAGAGGTCACAATCCTACTGATGAAGAAGTAAATAAGCAGCAGAAGAGACGACGCAGCATCGTCCTGAAGGTCCGTACGAAGTAGATTTAAGTGGTTAATTAACAAATAGTCAATTAAAGTAGTATCTGGGTGGCACTTTTTCTTCCAAGTATGATAAAAACCAAAGTTTTCAACAAATGACAGGATACTTTTTAAGGTCTCAAGGAGATGCATCATAATTATTTTAATTCAGCTTCAGCAATGAATCACTGCTAATGTCTGCGGCTGGCATTCCCGATGTGGGATCCAGGCCCATAATCAGGAAAAATGGATGGTTTAACTTGAGGCACACCAACTGTATCTGTGGACACTTTCCATTTGACAGTTTGACTCTCACTTTAAGGCTATTTCTAAGACCCCGGGGGGTCGTGCCAACCTGCGGATACAGTCATCAGTCAGTTTGCTGCTCAGACTCTGCTGAGTGCACTTCATATTGATTTGAATTGATGAAGAGGGCAGCCTCATCAAAATCTAATTTGGCAGAGCGTCTCAAAGGTCTGTCAACAGGGGGATGTATGAGCTCAGCGGTGGTCGAAGCTGTGCAGCATCTGAGCAACATCTGAGCAGCGTCCTCATCACCTTCACTACAGTAATGACCCTCACTGAACACTGAGTAAAGGGACAGGGATGGACCTAGAAATGGGCGAAGAAAAACAATGAATCGTGGGAAGGAATGAGGAGGTTTTTTTGGGCAGGGGCTGAGGATTCCTGTTTTAACTGACCACTGTGAATCACAGAGGTCTGGAATACTGAGCTGGAAAAAAAAACCTCTGAGAGGATGAATGAGTGCAGCAGCAGGGATGACAGTAACTTTCCAGTACCTCCAATTTTAGCCATTTTCACAGTTTCTCACAGTGAAAGGAACCACATGAAATGAATGCAAGCCTTTATTTCCAAAGACTGGACCCAGAGCCGTGTCAAAGGTGGGGACATTTATATGGACCCTCAGCAACAACAGGTCTTTAGTTAAGATTCATCGCTTGCAAACACACAATTCTAGTGATTTATTCTAATCATGATGTGAATTATTCCGATGTCTGATTTTGTACAGTAATGGCAAAAAGTTCTTATCCATCTTTTACAGCCCAATCCTAAAAGATAGTGAACATAAGGCCCATATATGGGGACATACCACAGACATGTCTCCAGTCAGACACTGGTTCCATTAACAACTATTAACACTAGAGTGTCCATTCAACCTAAGTCCTTAACGGTGAGACGTTACTGACATCTTCTCACTGTAAGGCATTAACCCCTACCGCTATTCCACCATGTGGCTCTAACAACGCAATAATAAATTGGATAACTTGAATCGTCGCCTAAAAAAGTGATAAAGTTTCCGAAACAATGCATATAATTATCATCTTCCATGTATTGTCAACTTGAAATATATATTTGGATTGGTGGATGGAAAAAAAGCTATTTTTTATTTGTGCAAGTACATTTTCAGAATAAACATAAAACACGTATATGGGATAAATAAATAAAAAGTCACCTCATAATTACCGGAAATCGAAATGCAAATTACTTTTTCAACGCCATATGAACTTGAATAATCCCAACGAATAAATGAGTTAAGGACAAAAACAGGCCTCTTACCTTGTTATCTATCCGACTCCATGTTCTTGTTGCAGAGATTCTAAGTGTGGACTAATGAATTATAACTTTTATAATCAGAGAAAAACGGCTGTAAAAATCCAAATGCATGCAAATCAATGTCTCCAAAACACTGGTTGTGTTGTCCGGAAACTGCGCTTTCTCTGCACTCAGGCGCCCCAGAATTACCAACCAAATATTTTTATAAAGGCCCTTAAAAGCTCTTCTTTTTCGTCTCCTCCAGGTGCATTTAATCCTCCGCTGTGCTTCACGCAAGGGAATAAAGTGCAGCGGTCTTCGTCTGCTGCGTCCGTGTCTCAGGGTACAGTGTAAAGTTTTTCACCCAGCGCTTCCTCCGTCTCTTCTCACTCTACACTGAAGCTCAAGCTGTTCCCCTGAGCTGCGCCTCTGACGTCAGCAGCGACGTCAGTACCAGGAAGTGCTGACGCTCCATCAGACACGTAACAAAAAGTAGAAACCACCGCCACGCAGTGGTCAATCGCCGGTAATACAGCTTCAAAAAACAAAACAGCTAATAGTTAAACGGCTTTCTTTTCTTGTCTCTCAACACAGCTAATAACAGTTAAACGGCTTTCTTTTCTTGTCTCTTAAAGCTTATGTCACTTACGTAACAATTACAAACGTGTTTTTTTTAGTTCATAGTTTTAGATTAGGCTAAAATACACTATGTACTTATAATAGTACCAAATGAACCAAGACGGCACGTTGCTCAAAACAGTGTGTGTGGGTTCTTTAGTCAAAATGGGATTATTTTAGACATTAAGAGTCTCTTACTGCATTCACAAGGAGAACTCTCTCACAACCATCACGTTTTTTAAAGATATTTTTTTGGTCCCTGTGTTCCATCTTTGTACTAAGGGTCCTTACCTGTCCTTTCTAAGACTTATAGACCTAGAATTCTAGACCACAGTCTAAAACTGACTAAGCTCCTCACCTCACTCTCCACTGTTGGCTGTTTGTCTGTGATCAGATGTGACCTTGCTCTGTCTACAGAAAGACTTATTGAGTGCAATGAATATCAATAGGAAATTTGCATCTCTCTGTGGACCTGCAGGTTGTTGAGCTGAACTGTAGACAAAAAACACCTATAGACAAGAATCCAGGCGTGTGATACCTGTTCAGGTCCTCACTGAGTGAGGAGGTATTTTAAGGTTTTAGAGTTCATTTGGAGTTAGGATTAGATCTTTTATTATATACTATCGTTCCACTGTTTTGCAGATTTTGGAATCAATTATGATACATTTACTAAAAAGTAATTATGATTATTGTATAGAAAACCCGAGACTTACTGTTTTTTCTGCTTTGTTTGTTTTCTACATATCTTGCAATTATTTGTGCAACAGGTATGTGAACAGTAAAATGAAAGCAGGTCTCAGTGTAGTGTAGGGAGTCAGTCCTGTGTCCTGAAGATCCAGGTCTACACGTCTCACAGGTTTTTCAAATTTCAGAGCCCAGAGGGGCTTTTAGAAAAATCTATCTGCTCTTTACGCTGAACTGTGTTTCGACTTGTTGAAAATCAATGTGGCCATTTGTCAGTCAGGTGAACTCCACAGGAAAATCTAAAAATACTGAGAGATCAATTAACTTTAAACAACGTACAATGGATTTTCTGTTCGGTTCGATATGGGCTGAGCTCCTGCAGGAGAATCCCAGAGGAGAATCTTTTGTTATTGACCTCCCCGTCCCCCTCTACCCCCTCTTATCCCCCTCACCAGAATAAAAAAAACAAACAAAAGAAAAAACTGGTGCCCATAATATCCACAAAGCCATAAATTGAGATAAAACATATCTGGCAGTCTTTCATTCAAACTCAAAATAAAGGAGTAAACAGTTTATTTTTGTCATTAATCAGGTAGTTATTAGTTTAACCCAGAAAATGAATTATTCTGCCTTTATTATATAAACTCGTAAAAAATATAATGAATGACTTAAACAACTCTTTGCTCTAAGACCAAAATAAAAGCCAGTATTTTTATTTATTGGATGGCACCAGACTTGTCTACTTGTTTGAGACATGTGTCTCATTAAAACAAATACAGTCGTTAACACCTTTGGTTTAGCCGGACAGTTCTGACCATTCCTGATATACAGTCCCATCATTCAAACACATAATAACTATTGTATTAGAAAGAATTACTGAGGTGTAGATACTGACAGTGTCGAGCACAGCAGGTGAAGACCGTGCAGCAGGAACTTCTAGGTGGCTATGTAGGCTTCATCAAAACAACCCGCACCATGGACCTGCATACTGAGAGGATTCTTCAACAGAGGAGACTGGATCAGGACCGTGGCTCTGAACTCTCTGTCCTCTCTGCAACAGATACAGAAGGAGTAGTTTATACTGATATTACTGCAATAATCCTCCATAAACTGGTCTGTATGTTTTCTCTTACCTGGGAGTGAAGTTGATTTCTAAACAAAGGCTGCAAGTGTTCACATTCGGTTCCTTCGGCCGGAGAAGCCCAGAGGGTGGGGTCACAGTGAAGACATCGGGGTCACGTCCATATGACTCTACACACAAATATAAACACAAACATACATTCAGTTGGTGTTTTTTCTGTGCTTAACCTTTGGCAATTTTTGAGGGTTTTTTTGTTATCGTTTGGGCCAACTTTTAAGGTTGTTCTCACCAACGACAGATTTCCAGTATGTGTGAGCTCCACAGCAGTAGAGATTTACTTCGATTGTCCGCGTGCGCCCTACATAACAGAACCCAAAGTCGATATGCTCCTTGGACAGACGAAGAGTAGGAATAGTCAGGTTGGCTCGGAGAGGAACAGTCTGATCAGTGGAGAGAGGAGAAAAACTCTGTGAGAGCTGAATATTTAGTTTGGGGATTTCATTTTGTCACTTTAGTTTCTACTGCGTCTGACCTGCAGGCTGTTGTTGATGTACTGTATCAGGAGGTTTTGCTCAAACCTCAAACTCCTCTCTCCGCTCACATGCTGGATCAGCCTCACACCGGGTAAGACGCCCTTGTCTACCTGGGCCATGTGGTCCAGAAGCGACAGAGAACAGCGGAAAGCCAATTTCACCTGACATGTAGAGAGAGTGTGTAGACATATTATATTCTTAAATAAAAAACACAGAGAGATACAATATTTATTTACTATTTCTCAAGAGTATTTTGTCTCCTTCTATTGTTATTTCTAATGACATTTTTCAAACTACATTGGTAACAAGACCAAAGTGCTTGGTGTTCACAACCAGTAACCCCAAATCTCCTGTGCAGTGTAACCATACAGCAGAGAACCTTTATGCTTCTTTCTCTGTGTTTGACTTTGTTTGACTTTGTTGTACCTGCACACTTTTTTGTTGCTGCAGCACCAGAAACTCGCTCTCAGCAGATCTGGAGTTGCTCGAAGTGCTGCTCCTGACTCTGGGATTTGGCTTGATCACCATGAACGGAGGCTGAGTCTTCAGCTTGAAATGCACGATCATCTCCGAACTGTTTAGAAGCTGCAGAGTCCGTGTGACGTCAAAGTCCTGAACACAAACCTGCTGGACAAAACAAACCCACTGAGCCTGACTGCAGAAAACTCCTGAAAACACTTGGGGAGAAGTGAAATTTAAACACATCTAAGTTGAATTAATGAAGTGCTTTTGATTCCACGCAGCTGACCTCCTTCTCTGATTCTGCTCTCAGTAAATCACCAGCAGAGGCATAAAAGTCGAGCACACCGTCGTCTTCATCCATCTGCACCAACAGTCTGAGAAAGAAAAGGAAGTTCATCACAGCACCCAGGTGAACTCAGTTGTTTGGGTTTATTTAAGAAACACAGATTGAGTGGAGAACAGCAGAAGGTTTGGAGAACATAAATAAAAGCGTGGCTAAAATGTCTCACCCTGCAGGCTTTACGGCGGCGATTAGATCCAACCTGAGGGGCTCCAGATCTAAACCCTGAGCTCGTCTAACTTTACCAGGGAGACAGGCAGCAGACTGTAGAGGCACAATAACAATCAAGACATTTAATCTGCATTAGAGTTTTCTAACTTCTGCTGTAGCTGGATTAGAGCACAGTATTGTAATTCATGCTTAAAAACACAAAGTAAGTATTTTAAAGAATTTGCAATCAAAATTCTGACTTTTTTCCTAATAGTTTAACTTTTTCTGTTTTGTGTTATTTTTAATGTAAACAGATTATAGCTTTGTTTTGTTACCTTGGAATCCAGACTCATGAAGCCCAGGGCTAAACCCTCACATTTGGACTCACAAACATTCCCACAGAGAGTCAGAGGAGTAAAAGAAACATGGATCATGCTGCTGCCTTGGGCTGGAATTACCTTAAAATACACCACAAAAAAAAATTTACAATGTCTGAAGGTAAATAAAAAACAGCTCTTGTCTCATCTACTTACTAATTGCTGAGGAGTGATGCAGAAAGGATAATCTGAACGGTTGCCCACATGAGGTCGGATGTGAACAGAGATGAGATTTTCTTCATCAGGAAAAGTATCAAAACTTTCTTCCGTTGTGTCACTTTCTTCTATGGCGTTGGATCCTTCCTCATCACTGTCCTGAAATACAACAAAAACACTCCACATAGTCAACAAGAGTAAAGAATAAATAGAAGATAACATCTATGCTTTTGCTTCAGTGTTGAATGTGCTCACACTCTGAGTTTGGCGAGAGAAGCTTGTTCTCTCATAATCTGAATTCCTTTGCCAAGGCGTCTGAACGTCACCGTCAGAGAAGCTCAAGGCTTCAGCCATCACCTCGTTCCCATCGGCATCTTTGAGTGGAAAGGCTTCCCCATACGTCACCAAAACATCCAGCACTTTAGTGCTCAATGGATCGATGTTATAAATCTCCCAGTCCACACGGATATCTGTCAGCAAACAAAGACATGGAGTACAACGTTCTCTGTTCTCCCTCAGAACCCTCAAGGATTTAAACTGTTCAAATGAAATTTCCATCAAATCATTTGCCCAGCTAATAATATTTACCAGTCAACGTGGGATTGTTGATGCGGAGTGAACGGGAGACTGTGTCTGCTCCAGATACATGCCTGCCAAACCTAATAATGTACAACACAAAATACACCACATTCATATACATCATATGGACTTAAAATTTAAAAATAAAACTATGCTGACTGTAACACGGACTGTATGATCGGCCCCTGGTTCTGGTCATCGGTTCGTGGGCCGGTCATCTGGAAGTAGAGTGGACATCCCTTCACTGTCATTTGAATGGAAATGAGCTGTGGCTCCAGATCCCCCACCTGCAGGAGAGAAGTCAGACTGAAGCATCCTCCCACAGCCCACAACATAATGAAGGTGTGAACTCCGTAGACTGGTCCATACTTTACAAATAAGATGGTCCCTGTATTCGCCCCACATGTCAGTGTAGGCTGTCACTTCTACAGTCTTGGTCTCGAACGCTGCCAGTGTCCCAGAGTTGGGCAGGACATAGAAAGCTGCACCTTTTCCATGAGCCAGGAGTGTGTTAACAAAGTCTGACGGTGGACAAAGAGACAGACACTCGGTGGTAAATGTGTTTTGTCAGCTCCAAAAAAAATGAATGACATGACTCATTAAAGTCAAAGCACACCTTCATGAGCCTTATCGTCCACTTTCTTCGCTTGTATGGAGTGACGTGGCTTTTTCACATATGCAAATCTGCAGTATAAATAAATGCAGTCTGAGTTCCAAGGACAAAACAACACCAGATGAGTTATATTTTTTACATTTTCATCTTACCTGTTTTCCAGTAGTTCTTTGTGTTTCTGTGGTGTTGAAGCAGGACATGTGAAATATTCTGCCTCTATGGTGAATGGGGCTGGAATTGCCGTTTGATTGGTTATCATTATCTGCTTCATAACAGGTTTCTTCAAAATCACATCTTGCCCAAAGTCTAGCTGCAGTGTTGAAGGGCGTCCTGTGTCTTGAGCTGAGCTAAAAAAAAAAAAGTCAAGTTAGATTTAGTGTCATATGACATTCTATATTAGTGTTTTCACACACTTTTTGACTTTTCTTTTCTTGTTGTTTCCTACTTAGCACATGAAAGTGCTTTTAATGTCACGGTTGAGCATCCGTCATCAATAGACTGAGCTAAACTCCTGTTTAGAGCATGGTTAAAGAATACCTTCCATTAGTTGAGGGTGTGCATTGAAACTTGTCAAGATCACTGACAGCTCTATTAGTTTGAAGTGTGCTGAATTGATTGGGCATCTAGATTTCGAGTTTGTGAGGCTCTTAAAAACTTCTGTGATAGATCTGATGTAACTACCTGACATCTGGTAACAAATAAGACACACTTAGTGTCCTGGGATCTGGAACCAAGATGCGAAGAACAAGAGGAGAGTTCATGCCCTGGACCTCACAGAGGGCAGCGACTTCAGTCAGCTTCATCTGGATACAGTGACAGTTAAAACGTTATAAGTGAGTCTATCACATCAGAGTAGATTGAAGAAAATAAGAAAATCATTTCTTTCTGTCATTTTCTCTGGTACGATCAGAACCTGTGGTGTTTCTTACATCTGTGTGAGCTGTGAAGTTAACTGTGACCTCAATGCACGCATTTGGTCCCAGAGTACCAGACGGGGGGTCAAAGCTGGTCGTGCACAGTGACGCCTGTTTACCCTGAAGCTGAGCCTGGTGGAGAAAAAGTTGGAAGAAATGTGGCACCAAGGTTGACTTTTGTTGTTTTGTAAAAGCTAATAAGGGACTGCAGTATACCATCCATTTGAAGTGTGAGGGCAGCAGGGTCTGGTTGAAAAGTTTGACAGTTCCCTTGGTAGGAATTTCAACGTAGAGTTCAGAGAAGATCAGCTCACAGCTGAGCAGACAGACCTGAGGAGACTGCACGTCTGCTCGGACCGACAGGTGACTGTGAGGAACACACAGAGAGGATTCCAAACATGAATTAAATAGGTAAAGAATTAAGTAAAGAACAGACAACATTTCTCTGTGGATCTTTACCATCCTGTCCCATTCTTCACATTCAGTTCCAAATTAGTTTCAAAATGCTGGCAGTAGTGTGAGCTGAATGTCACGTCCACACTGCAGGAGGCAAAGGGAGGAAGCACACCTTCATACGGCTTCACTGACACCTAAAAAAAGACAGATGAGACACCCAAAGACATGAAAAAACATGATCACTTCAGAAAAGTGTTTCGAACTTTCCAACACTTCCCAAGTGTCTCAGATCTTTTTACTTTAACAGAGGTGCTTAAATATCTACATCTTTACCTCTGAGGCGTCTTCTCTCCCTTTAACACCCATAATTGTCCAGGATGTGTCCAGGTGACTTGTATTGCTGAGGAGCAGTGTCTTGTGGACCTTGTCTCCGACCTGGATGAGCCCAAAGTCCACACTGGGGGCATTGATGGTCACAGTTGGACCCTGTCAAAATCAAACAATGAGCCTCAGAGGGCACAGAAGAGTCGGGGCCAGTTTAGAGCCAGCGTTAGTTTTAATCTAACCTTAAATGAAACTTCAAAGAACAAGCTGACGGGTTCGCTGTGGTGCTGAATATGGCAAACCAGACTGGTCACCACCTTCCCAGGTTTCCCTCCAGTCACAATTAGATCAAAATTAAAACATTCATTTTCTCCTGATAAAAAAGAAGCAAAAAAGATTAATAAGATACATTTTTAGATGATGGACAATGATGACAAAAACTGTGTACAAGACTCGTTTTATATGTCAAGGCACACATGTCTGAGTTTATGTGATGCACCTATTCTGCCTGTAGGGGGCTGTACTTCTATGATGTGACTGCTACAGTCTATCCTTTCCCACTGAAAACGGACGAAGTTCTTGCTCTTGTTCCACATCTGATCCACACAGTAAAGTAAAAACTCAGTTATTAAACAATGTAAACTATTAAAGAAGAAATCACACTTTAGAACAAAGGACTGAAATTACCTTAAACTGCCTGCGGGTGGTGGTGCAAATGAAAATGTCTCCTGGTATAACAAGGGCGTAGGGCTCCAGGTGGACCTGGTATGGTTCTGTTGAACCCATGACCTCGATCTGCATCGCAATAAAGTCGCTGAGCTTGGAGCCAGTGTGAGCAGGCTGTGGAACACTGGGGTTTTTCACAGACACAGACACAGGCACAGAGGTCACGACTCGGATCAATTTAAAATAGCAATACAATGTATACAATTGTATACAATTATTGTATACAATTATTAGCCTTTAATGTTTGTGATTTTGTTTCTCTTTAGAAGAGAACGTCACCTGGTTCCACTGTCCTGCTGTGGCAGCTGGGGAACATCCTTCAAGACTAAATGACAGACGCTGTGGTAATCCCTCAACTGAGAAGATCAGAAATCATTTAAATTAATTATGAATAAATTATGAAAAATAAAATGATAAAATCCTTGTCTACCTCTTTAGGTCTGAAGGTAAACAAGAGCTCCATGTCCTGATGTGGGGCCAGAAGACCTGATACAGGGCTGACACTGAAGGCATCATCCACGGCTGGGTGGAACTGGATGTTAGAAGGCACAGGTGTTTCTTCTGGAAGCCGAAGGTGGAGGTTGGGTTTCATGATCTCCCAGTGGAAAGGCAGCTCTACGTGACTTTGACCCGTAAGAGAAGCGAAAAAAAAAGAGTCAGGATTAGAGATAAGAAAATAAACATGTGGCCACACTTGTGGGTGAAAAGAACTAAAAATGTCTAGAACTGCTTTTGAAATATGCAAGACAATGTGTTTATGGCAGCAACTGTCTGAGACTGTCGAAGCTTACACATTGTTTCTGATGGTGATTTTTTTCTGCTGTACAGAGTGAGGGTTACAGGAGCTGAAGCGGACACAGTGCTGCGCTGTCAGGTCGTGCACCTCCCCAATAACAGGAAGCTCATTTTCCCCAGAAACAGACACCAGCTCCAGAGCAATCAGCTGTCCCTCACCTGCAAAACAAGTACAGTATAAAAATGACCGTTTAAAATCTTTGACCAAAAATACCATTTTAATTAGCCCTAAACCCACCTTCAATGGAAATGTCTTTAACTTGGCAGTTGTCACAGATGATGGTAAAATCCTTGGAGATTCTTTCCGCTGCGGTGGGAAAGAAAACAACCTGTAGAAAGACATGGAGAAAAACAATATGATTTCAGAGTATGAATTACTTGAAGGCAGTTATTTCCTTATTGATATTTGCCTCCCAAACTCACGACTCACCTCTACTACAGTGGCTTCTCCTGGCTGCAGTGCAAAAAGAGACGGGCTGATTGCAAAAGGAGGCTCCTCAGAAGAATATGTTTTAGTCACAGACTAAAAAAAACAGAAAAAAAATAGTTATAACAGGAAAATAATCAGTTCCAACTTTTACAATAAAATACAAAAACATTACCCTGAGGTTTGTGGTTGGCCACTGGTTTTTTGGCATTATGGTGAACGTCCCAGCACTGAGTCCAACATTTTGGCACAGAAACTCGACAAACTTGACTCCTCCAATCAGGCAGTAACCACAGTCCAGAACTCTTGGTACTGCACAGGAAATTTTTAGCGGAACATATTACAAGTGCTTGGAATAATGAAGTGGATTGAAAGGTTAAAAATGAAAGGTTCATATTTATGGGACTCACATGTCAGTATTGGAGGAGGCCGTCTACCTAAGACAGGCACTACAAGCTGGTGTTCAGATTGAGTCTCCACCACTATGAAGTCACTGTAATCTGCGAGTGAGTCTGGAGCAAAGCGAATGGCATATTTGCAGCTCATTCCAGGGGCAACAACGCCGCCCTCTCCTGGGAATCTTCCTGGAAAATCATGAATATGAACACAACTCTTTGTATAGTACACCTGTTTATTATGGCTACAGCAGCAATGCAGGATTGAAATATATGAACCGTGTTTATTTTTAATTCCAAGGTGTCCAAAATAATTTGACAAATAAACTAAAAAAAGTCTTCACCAAAATTTTCCTGAACGTAAGCTCAAGCCTAGTGGAAGCTATACATTTTATTTGTACAAAAGTCACAGTTTAGTTCAGAGATAGCTAACGGTGACCAAGCATCTGATTGAAGCTGCTTTTGAAAATGGGATAAAAAAGACTGTATATAAAATGTTAAAACTTTTACCTAGGCCAATGGAGAAGTGCGGTGTGGTTGGGGGAATGACCCGGACATGACGACTTGCAGATGTCATATTTTTTAACTCTAATGTTGTCTGAGGCAGGAGAGAATGAGACAGAGTATGTCACTGTGCATCGACCCCCAGGAATAGTGTTGCTGCTATAAATCTGACACATACTTCATAGACCTGACCCACGGTGTACTCTGCAAAAACCACCACAGGAGGATTTGCTATGAAGACTGGAACACCGTCTTCAGTGGAGCTGGTAGAAGAGAGGAGCAGAAGAGAAGAGAGTGACTTGAGCATTGTTTCTGTTCTGTGGAAGGAAGTGGTGAGACATGACCTGCTTAACAGGCTACATAAAACATACAATAAAACCACAAAGCAAACACCGTTCTAGGTGAAAGTCAGTTCTCAGGAAATAACTTTGATTTAAACTTCTTTAAAAAGATCAACTAGGTAAGCTCTGTTTGATCATATCAGCTAATCCTAAGGTATTACTAAGCTCACTTTGACTATCTGTTGGCTAATTTGTACTATCTTGTGTAGAATTCTCTCTTTGCAATATTCAGAAATAACCTTAATCTTTTAGTTTTAGCTTTTTTATCCAAGGTCCTGTATTTGTATAGCACACCAAGCAGATAAATCACAGGTCACATGATTAAATTGTGTCACCACAAGCACACTATGGAGTGGACAGCTGTGTTTGCATGTACTGTGAGATGACTGTGTGTTCTTTATACACTGTATTTGTTCAGCTCTACCATACATGTGACCCACTGAGGTCATACCCTGTCATTTAATACATACACCTCCCACACAATGACCTGAATAATATGGGTTCACCACTTTCCATACAGCACCTTTGTCCATCCATGTCTCTGCCCTCACGCTCTGTCGTTGCCACTCTGGTCATGGGCTGTATGAGCGACTTGCCCCCAGGCTGCGCAATTGGAGGAAGAAAGTGAGGATTACAGAGAATGTTTTGTCGATCTTTCATTTTTTTCAGTTTCTCCCAAGCCTCCATCTTGTCCTTTACACTTGGCTGCCCTTTCCACGAGGGTTTGGGTTTGACCTCATCTTGTTTCTAAAATGCAGATGTTAAGATTATCAGTGGTTTGATTCAAAATGAATGACTGGAGAATGTTAATAATTAGAGCAAATGATTAACTAATGATCTTTGTGGATCTTTGGTTATCATTTCATATACAGTATATGATACTCACCTCCTTGTGGAGAGCCCTTTTCTTTAGAGTCACTGAACTGGAACTGACCATCATGGCATTGTCTACCTCATTCAAATCAACATCATCTCTGTCCGGACTGTGTACCAGTAAGTAACCATCATCCCGAGGCTCCTTGGACACATGCATGGAGTAGCAGAGAGTGGGTTTGGCAGGATCCAATTTAACTGTGAAGAACATTCATTTAATTGAAAAAAAAAACAACAACAACAACAAGTACAACAAGTGATAATGACTTGATTTAGGTCCAAAGAGAAGATCAGGAACCTGGTGATGGTGCTGGACACGGTGTTTTCAGTGAAGGGATGTAGTCACGGGGGCAAATCAGGTTGTTCATCTTTAGGAGATCATTGTCAACACACCAAGAAAAGGCTGACTGGACTGAAATAAAACAGCATCAGGGCCACAGAAAATGACATTATAATGTAAATTATAATATAATGTAAAGTAAGCACTATTAAAAATATCAACACCGTAGTGAACACCTGTTAGTAAGCCCTTGTCATCACATATGTCTCCTCTGCTTCTCTCACAGGCCTGACTTTCTTTGACTGCAGCTTGTGCTCTAGCTTGGATAATATGATTCTCCAGCATGTCCGCCTCCTGGATTTGACTGTCATACTCAGAATGAACCTGTGGGATATTTTTTTATAAATAATGTTGATTATTAAAAATAACACAAAGTCACAATATCTGATGATAGTGGTTTGTAAATGTAAAGCAATGTAAAAAAAATCTGTGTTTAATATTTTATAGCTGCTTATTTAAGTACAAAAATATCAGTTTAAAAAAAGAAATATGTCATAATTAAGAAAGCAAAGAATTGTTAATCATTTGTGCGACTTAAAAACACTTAAAGCTGTCCAGCTTGTAAGTAACCAATCCAATTTTGATGTATTCTTTACAACAAATATTCACTAAGGTTATTGCAATATTATTGTTTTTCTTTTACCCGTTGGAGTTCTTCCACATATTTGGCATGGAAGCTGCTTCGTCCACTCTTGGTCTTGACGAGGTTGGCCAAAGTGTCTTTACCAATGACATCTTGGGTGTAAATCTTTTTGAAAGTGTTCGCGAAGATATATGAAATGTCCTGAGGTTCAACATCAAAATGACAACATGAGACAGTTAACACGGCTGATGTTTGCACAACATTTACTGAGAAGTGAATGTTTATTGTGTAAATTTCATACCTGTGATTTGGCTGAGGCAGGTCTGTGGCTGTTCACTGACGGCTCAAACATCCACCTTGCCCTCAGCTCCTGCTTCTCCATCAGGGCTGATATTGGGGTTGCCATGTGAGCCAATGAATGCTAGGATTTCAACCTCCTAAAACAAATAACAGTTTCATTTGTATGTCCTTTTAAAGAATTCATTGTATTGAAAACAGTTTGTCTAATGTGTATATTTCTGTTGTTTAAGTAGTATCATTACAAAAAAAAGAAAAACATATCAAAATACATGCGTAAAAAATATTAGCACCCAGAGAAATATTTGAATATTTAACATACGGTGTTTTAAATTGAGTTTCTTGATATTTATGTAATCAATATTTTACTGATTTCTTAAAACTGAAAAAGTGTATACTCCCTGGGGGATATTAGTTGTCGACTTTATTTAAAAGTAAATATGGTATTTTTGTATCACTAAATGTGTCAAAATACTGGTCTTACCCCTTTACATTATGTATTTTATTTATTTTTTTCATCTTATTGTGTGTAAATGAGCACTTACGGCAACTTTTTATGAAAGGCGATGGTGAGTAACGTGGGGGTTTAAAAACGTCAAATATATACAATAAATAACCGTTTATTAAATAAATAAATAAATGTTAAGATAAGGAAAAGATAAAAGGAATTTGTCGCTGATTTTTTTACGGTTGTTAGCATCGACAATTTGGCCTCCGTTTTCATTCCTTTAACCGCCACCGATGTTACACAGAGTTTTGTCTTTATATTTTGTGAACAAACACCCTCTCGCCACAGTAATAGCAATAAACGGACACATAAGCGACTTACAAAAATACGTACAATATACGTTCGAAGGACCAAACGTCCCAACTCACCTGTTTGCTCTTCGTCCGCCATGTTGTTTACATGCGGTTGCCGAGCTGCAGCTGGCGAAGGGGAGGGAGGGGGGGGGGGGACTATATCCCTTAAAAATGTAGTTATAAAAATACACTGCAATAAAATATGGATTAAAAAAAGGATGAAATACTGTCGTATAATAGTGAGTAATGATAGAGACAGAAATGAGGTCTTATTGAGAAATTCCATCTCATTATTTTAGATTAGATGCTATTTCAGTAGACTAGATAGTATTTTATTGTTAAAAAGTACTTCTCTATGTTAAAGAGAGTATCTCAGTACTATGAGAAAGTATGTCATTATTATAACGTGCCGTATGAGTAAGTCAGGAGGGTCAAGGGATTACAAAACAGTCATGCAGAACATATTTTCGGTAAAATTGTGTTGTCCATGCAGAGTGGCAGAATGATTTCAAGAACTGATTAAAAAAAAAGTACATATGCTGGCAGGAGAGATAGAGAGAAGAGGAATGGACGTCAGCCAAACCCATGAAGGCGGCAGCTGAAAAAAAGTTTCCTTTTAAGGGAATTCTTGCAACCCAATGTGTTTATCCTTGTTACCAAAACTCATAAACAAACAGGCACAATTTAGTGTTAACATATTTGTTAAAACAACAGAAACTAACATGGGGTTGTTCTGTAACCTGAACAAATTAAAACATTACAATTAAAATAGAACATAGTTTGATTGACAGCTTAAAAAATGTTAAAAATTGACCCAGAACAAAATCTCTGACTCTGCTCCTCAGCTCATGTAGAATTTATTTAGGCTTCTCAAAGAGGCGATTGTTCAGTTGACTTTGTAGCTCCTCGTGCGTCAGAAGTTTTTTTTTTTTTTCCCTTCTACGATAGGATTAACACAGCACAAGCTTTTACTGGACGTAACAAGCTGGCAGACAGTGATAACAGAGACACACAAAGAGTGATCTGTCTCAACACGCAGACATGACATTCTAACTAGGGTTGGCTTAATGCCAATATTCGGAGTCTAATACAGAAATTGAGAATATTACAGCCTATGGAGTATCACATATTGAATGCACCTACAAAACTCTTACCTGTCTGCTTTATGGCTCCATTTTCTTCTAATAAGCCTACATAGGTCACATGGTTTCTGCAGTGTGGTCTGCATCTCTCACTCATATTCTGGTCATGATGGTGGAGCATGTTCCTTTTACAGCCTGGGTAAAGTACAGCACTCATGTGGAATGTGGTGGGTGTCTTGGATCGATCTGAATTTTCTGAAAGTTTCTCTTTTCCACAAACTGGAGCACTTATTCTTGCTCCATACTGGACTAATATGATTCTAAATTTTGCATCATTTCAGAAGTTGTAACAACAAAACAGCTTGACTGAAGCACAGACACAGAACCTCCGATGTGAGACACAAGACTAAAAATAACAACACTGTTCAAAAGTTTAACTCTTTATTTTCTGTCTCCTGCCTATCGTTATTTCTACTTGTGATTGATGAGCAATCATTAACTTGTAAATTAGATAATACAAATAAAGCGGGATGTGAGTAGATGATAAGCATGAGTGGAAAATGTTTGTACAGGGAGTGAAGCTATTTTTTTTTTCATGCAGGACAGAAAAGTTGACCCTTTTCTGACCATTATTTTTTACTTTATAAATCTGGTAGTACAACACCAATTAACAAATTTACACAATACTCCAGGGGCAGGACAGAGTTGTATCTGTCCTAAGAGACAATGCTCTACACTTTCAACCAAACTTGTTATTCAAGGTGTGATGCGTGCCTCTGGAGTGCATGTGCCCTTCAGGAGAGGTGTGAAATGAGAAAAATAAAAGACGCTGCAGGACATCTAAACAAGCTGGCAAACATTATGACAGAGAAATAATAATTTGTTTGTTTTTTTCTTGCAAGGAAAAAAACTCAATAACCAACAACTGAAGCACAGTATGATCCATATAACCAGATAAGAACAGTATCTCTTACCCACTTTACCACTGTGTTTGTAGGTCACAATCACACACCTGATAGTACGACTTTGTGTTGACAGAAGGTGTGACAGAGACACCAACTCACACACACTGTGATCTGCCGTGGTTTGTTTGATCGAGTCTTTTCTATGACTTAGAAAAATAAAAACAATGGCTGTGTGTCATGTCTGTCTTTTCCACTGCATCATCAGGTTCCACATCCTTGAATAGAACAGCAATGTAATCACACACAGCCATAAGTATGTGAGTGGTGTTCAAAGAACTGAAGGCAGGAACACTCATCAAGCTGTAAATGGCAGGTCTGTGCACTACCTGAGTGGGGCAACACCCTAAATAAATCAAAACACTCTCTACGACGGAATTCTCTCAGGTGAAGGTGAGCTGGCCAAAGACGAGGGCAAAATGACGCTGAAAGAAACCATGGGTGTTGTGTTCCTCTTTAGGTGTTTTGTCTTAAGTTTCAATTGACAGAATTCCATGAAGAATTTTTAGTTTTCATTGAAAGGAGGCTGCGTAATGACAGTCAGGAGAAAACACATTGTTGTACTTGTCAGACCGGTGTTGAAGTGGGTGTGGACTCCAGGGTGAAAAAGCCTCTGACGGACTGGTTTACTGCACACTGTGTGGGTCCGTTCAGAGAGGGAGGAGGACGCAGGCTGGAATTTTCCCTGATCTGGACACACAGACGCACTTCATGTTGGTGGTGATAACTCCAGTCCCATAAGAGAGGGTCTACTGAAGGAAGGAGAGGACGGTGTCCCTGTGCTTGGTGGTTACTTTGGGTTAAATTCACAATGGAGGCAAATGGCACTGCTGGGAAACATGGTGAGTTGGGATTTACAGATTTAATATGAAATATTGAGTCAAACACTGTGGCGTTTTCTCATTCATTTTCTAAAATGGCACTGGCTGGAGTGTAAACTTGAACTAATATGGGTTTATGCCCATTTATAAATAACTGTGACACACTTCACTGTTGTGATTCCTGTACCAGGCGAGAGTAACTCACACCTTCATGTTCCTGTGCTGCCTTTTCTCCCCTTCTGAGACACGTTTGTCATCACCCACATAAAGGTGACGGCTTTGTTTGCTGATGTATTCCATCTGTTGCCAGGAAAGTATCACATGTCAAGCCGCAGGATAAAAACTCTACATATGTGGGTGTCGCAGATTATAATCAAAGATTTAAAGCTGTCAAAATTAAAAAATATATTATTTTTGGATTGGATTTTCTGAATCTAGTTTCACTGGAATTTTAAAAATCACGTCTGAGTTAATATATATTTCTTATCATAAGGTGGTGCTATTCCTCTGTTTTTTGGCCTTGGGGACAATACAGTAAGTTGTTTTTAAGAGGATACTGCAAGTGGTATTACTGTAGTATTAAATAATAGTATATATAATAAGGAAGTAGCGCAAGAAATTTTATTTAAAATTGAAATCTTTAAAGTTTAGCATATATTTAGTTTTGTATACGTACTAACTAGTTACTAACTGAAACTAACTAGTGACAGTGGATACAGCTTAAACACCACCATGTGGTTCTATTTTCTTTCTGGAAAGATCACCTTTTCTCACTATTAGATTAAGGACATTTTTAAATCAAGTTTTGCTTCTGTAAATATATATTTTTAGAAGGATTTTTGGAAAATTTTGTTTTTGTTTTTTCTTGTTATCGTGTTTGGTGCAATCTTCTGGAATTTTTTTTTGGAAAATTTTGTTTTTGTGTTTCCTTGTTATCGTGTTTGGTGCAATCTTCTGATTTATTTCTATTCTGTTTCTATTCTTTGGTAAGCATTTGTGTGTTTGGGTAACACGTAGCCTATTTCTGGTCTGTTTTGATTCCTTTTTTCGTTTTTATTTAGTTTATTATGGAAGTACCCGATATTTACCTTGTGTTATCTGAAATAAAATGTTTCTGAAAGGCTGAAATGTCTGATGAAATCACAGTCACGGGCGGTTGTTTGAACACTAACGTTCACACAAATGCTTTTGTTGTAGCTACTAAGGTATTACACAGAGAGCAGTTAGACCTTTAAAGGTCAACTATGCAGTACTGTGTTTTTCTTTTATGTCTTATGATTATGTCAACAATGATCATGTCCATGCCTTACCCAGTCTGCGGGTGACGTTATAAACGCAACAGAGTCCTGTTCTCTGCAGCAGCTCTGAATTTGATGAGTTGAAATGCTGCCACCTATGAGGTTCTTTTGCCATTGGGTATTACCTCATTACAGCTAAAAATCACAGACCACTACTTTTGACAGATTTTGATCAAACTCCATCTCCCAGAATTATTTTAAATAATTTCTAGCATGCATAAAAAAAAGATTTGTTATTTTCATAATTAAATATTTTTCTTTTAATGTTTCTTAACATCACCCCTCCCCCCTTCAGCAGATGACACCTGAGACAACCACCTTTATGGCCTGTGGTTATGCATAGCCCCGTATGAGAACAACTGTTCTAAAAGAGCTATAACGCTACCAGGGGTGGGGTGCTGAGCCAATCAGAAGAGCTCCAATCCACAGCCATTAAAAGTGCAACAGAATAACTTTAGGGCTGTGTTATCAGCGTATGCTGCCATGATAAAAGTAGTGGAGGATGTGCACTTCTGGACAGGGTTCTTGGGAACAGAACAGCTAAAACAGAATTATACAGACGACTGGACCCGCCCTAAGAGGGGTTAACTGCAGCCTGGCTACGTCTGCACCACACGGAGCTCACTTTAAAACTCCGACTAAGGGTTTAGGAAGGTAGTTCACACGTAATGTCCTGTTTACAAGAGCGTCCAACAAGGACGGAGTCTGAGGAGCGGGCTTTCCAGGAGCAGGTGGGGAGGGTCGCGCAGGAGAATGGAAAACTCCTCGGTGAGTGCGCACGCAAAAAAATAAATAAATCCCGGAGAGCGGAGCAGACGTGCCTGATGTGGCATGTTTTTACGCAGCACGGACGCCTACGTGTCTGTTAGTATTCACCAAACTCGTGATCCAGCGCACGGATTCTGGGCTCAGTCGGATCATTAAGTAACTTTAAAGTGAGCCTAGATTTATATATAATGACGAAGCAGCGGGTTTGTTTTCAGAGAGGCTTCCTCGTTGCCTGGGGTGCTGTAATTTTTTTTTCTATCTGGCGTCAAACCAACTCAGAGCCTCTGAGGCTGATTAAGACCAGTTGTCTTTAAATAAGTCAAAATTTAGGAAATGGGCGATTTAAAAAAAATGTGGGCGAGAGGAGGACTCTCCCCGACTTCCCTTTCTCACTTTTGGGTTTCATTTTACACACAGTAGCTGCGAGTTTTCCTGATTGAAGACACACAAACCAAAGTAGCTGTCACGAATTCATTTAAACTAAATTATGCTGAGAGTTCTGGGATATGTAATGAGAGGGAATTCAATTTTATATTCATTTCACATCAAAACCTACGTTCAGACTATTTTAGCCTTTCATTTTTATGTATATCTACTGCAAGGCTGACCTATACAGAAGTATGATATACAGTTATTTGGTCAAAAAAAACTTTTAAACATTTACTAAAGTTGTATGTGTTTACTTGACATTTATAGAATGATTATTGATAATGATTATTTACCCTTAATTCTAACATTAATAGAATGATTATTGATCATGATTATTTACCCTTAATTCTAACATTTTTACAGCATATATTAAATTAGCATAAACATTTAATTGAATGCTGCTTTACTCTCCTCTGTTCTGTAGGACTCACACCTTTAGAAGATCACTCCGTCATTCTAACCCAATTCCTATCTACTTCATGCCTCAGCTTGTCCCTGCAGTCAGCTCACCACTCGTGCTTTTCTCTGAACCTCCCATCTGGGAGTGATATCTCTGTAAAGGAAGTAAAACATGTCATACATTTCTCTGGAAAACTGACCAGTACAGTAATGACTCACACTCTCTAAGAAACAACACATCTGTGGCCACTTCTACCAAAATGGGGCAGTGTGATATGACAAAAAAAAAAAAAAAAACGCAAGCCACTGGGAAGACGACACTGTGATAAAATGTCTGAAATCTTTTTGATTCCACCCACAGTCACAAAGTCCATCCACTGGGAGGAGTGTCTTAATCGTAACCACAGATGACAGATAACTTTTTATTCTCTCTCTTACTCTTCATTTAATGTAGAACCTGTCTCACCCATGTGCTCCAACATACGGCACTGCCCCAAGATTGTACCTGGAGAAAAACCCCATACGCAGTAAACAGCTGTTTTCCTTGAACCTCCTCTGTCGTATTGAACAGTTTGTTAAAGTGTGAGTCAGTCATGGGGCAGATGTCTCACTCCCCCTTCTACAGTGTGGGAGATGTAATCAGCTTTTTATCTCAACCGCAATTCTGATGCTGTGACTGAGACGTATGATGTAATTTACCTGAATGACCCCAAAGTATTTAAAGGACTTGATTAGGAACCACAAGTTGAGAACTACGTAGAAAATTCTGGTGTTAATCAAAAGTCTTGATTGATGTGAAACGGCATAGTTCAGGACATTTGGTCCATTTTGTTTATTCTTAATGGGTTTTTTGTGTATCTCTCTCCTGCTCTTAAAGGTCTGGAGGGAGACCCGGACCTCCAGTTCCTCCTGGTCGGTGGGGTACTGGTCAAAGTTCGCTCCAGTTCCTGGAAAAAGGACCGCTTCTACAGGCTGCAAGAGGACTGCAAGACTTTGTGGCACGAGTCCCATAAAATGTTCAAGAAGAATCAGACCTGTGAGTGGCCTCGACTGCACACGGGTCAAACAGTGGCTGAATAAGCCAATCAACGTCTCTCTCTGTATTTGAACTATAACCGAGGGTAGATCTCTCACAGGGGAAGTCGTACTCTGCAAGCTCTGTATAGCTCTCTCACAGGGGAAGTCGTACTCTGCACTTTCTTTTATTTTTAAGTAGGTCAGGCACACCCAGGAACTACAACTGCTTTGTGCGGAACAAAAAATGTTATTTTCCACAACAGACAAATGGAGAAGATGAAGAAGGGAAATGGTAATTGTGGTTTGTATGAGCAGCTGGATAATGAGGAAGAAAGACTTGAATCTATTAAACAAAGAGATAGAGCTGCAAGTGTTGTGCAGCAGGTTAGGGAGATAAAGGACGAGAGTTCCGATCGTGTTAAAAAATTGAACAGAGCACTTGAGGAGCTGTTGGCTGAGGAAAATAAAAGGCAGGAAGAAGAGAGATATAGGCGAGACCGATTTAGGGAGAGCAAAAAGTAAGTGCAGAAACACGCGATAAAGGCAAAGAACATTACAGGACAATTTAAAGAGATGTCGGATTTCAGAGATGGATAGGAATGAAGAAAAGTGCAGTGAACAAACAGATGTTTTCTGTTTTCCAAACAGCAGATGTGAAAAACAACATAGTTGTTGGCTCTCTGTTAAACACACCCACACTTGATGAAAACAGTATGTGACAGTGGATGGAATGGAGAGAAGTCACAATGAAAGACAATGTTGTGTCGCCAAAGACACTCTGGACAACAGTTGTGGGAATACTGACTGTATGTTTGTCCGTGTGTGTGAAAGACACACACACACACACAGATTAGGTTCTTATCGTGTCCACAGCAGGATCAGAGTGTGAATGTGCACACAGCACAGTGTGTCATACATGTTCCCACACATGTAGTGAAAACACAGGGGTCAGACGGGGGCTGCTCCCCTCTGCTGACCAAACACCACAGCTGTCTTAATGGATAGATGTGATTTTTAGGCTCATGGGCATTTCCTTGTTTACAGAAACAGTTAAAGCTACTGGTTTTATTGCTCCCCCTGTTGTTCATTTCCAGGTCAGTCTTTACACTCAGCTCTAAAGGGCATTAACGTGGGCCGGCGTACGAGGCTCATCTGCCGCTCCTTAGATTCGTTGTCGTAGCCTTAACTGATGCTCTGTGTTTTGTTTCGTTCCGTTTTATTAGAGCACAGCATGACAGCTGACATTACTCCTCCTCTGCTGCTCTGAGTGATGCTTCAACATTCTGTTACGTTTCCTGTTTTTGTCACATTTTCCATGTCTGTTTGTTATACATTATCTGCACCAGGAAGCTAAGAATAGAGGCTTCTCCCTGATAGTGTTGTTCTGTAAAGTCATCGCAGATGACTGGCAACTGTTCGTTACATGTCATTATTCATACAATACAGTACAACGTTTTCAATTCTTATTATTGGTATAAGTTGTGTTTGCTACTGGGCATCAAACCCCCCTCCTCTCACTATAATGATTTCGCGGGCAAATCCAGATATTTCAAGGGCGTTTACCAAACCCAAATCCAGCAAATCCAGATATTTCAAGGGCGTTTAAGATTATTAAGCCATTGTGACTGTATCCACTTTAACAGCAGATTTTTCCTTAGACAACACAGAGAAACCCTGAGAGTTACATTGTCCTGTTAAAGATGGAAGATATAAATCTGACTGCACAGTCCCACAGAGCGTCAAGTCGTTCAGAGAAAGTCATGCGTATCAACAGGTTTATCAGATCAGTATTTGACTAAACAATACTTGGAGAGTACTTCATTTAAAACGGCCCAGTAGATAGGCTGAGTAGATGATTATTGTTTTGCATGCCTTTCCTCGACCTTTGTTTGCTCCGAGTTCCAACGCTGAAGCTAAGCTTATATTAACCTGAAGGTCATGTTTTTGTACGCACATACCCCGACATGGCTGACCGAGTAACTACAGAGAGAAACACACTCTCTCTTTTTCACAAAGGAATTTTCTCTCCCATTATTTTTGAGAGAAGACGTTTAGGGACAGCAGCACAACAGTCTCTTTGTGTAAAAGTTCATCTGGTATTCAAGCAATGTCTGCGTGACACAGTCAACATGTCTTGGACATCGGCGGCTGGCCTCACCAGAAGGGATTCTCTGAAATGGGTCCAAATCCACGACTCCAAACTCCTCCACAGTGAGCCGCTGTGCTGCGGATAATTTTCATCCGCAGATCAGACAGAACGATACCGTCCTGCTGAGAGGTTTCCAGGAATTCTACCTGGAGTCAGCTGAGTGCACAGAAATAATCAAGGGAGCTTAGAGAAAAAAATCTGTGAAATATCTTAATGTCCTTCTTAAATACGTAGTGAGGTTTGGACCAACCAGAGAGGAAAAATGCAGCAGGCCGTCCGTAGCAAACACAACTCCTGTTTATTTGCCATGTAAATGTAAAGGTTTGACTATTACAGGTCAGAGCAGTGCATGTGTTTGACCATAAAGACGACATAAACGGTCACTACCAAGTAAAACAACACCTAAAGGCTAGTTAGCTAAAATAATCGAAAGATGAGTCTAAATAAAATGGCTTAAAAACAGGCTTAAAAAAATATAAAAAATATATAAACAAAAATATACAAAAAAGTTGTTGTACCATAAAAGGATCTTAGCCAAAGTTATCTGAATTCAAAGGTAACTTAAAGTAAGCTATGATCTCAGCTAAAAGATAAGTACAAGTTTGCAGAGAATAGCCAAATCACACTGTAAAATATCATGTCAGCAATGTTTAAATTCATGTTTACCTGTGAGTGCTGATGCATGACAGAAAGAGATTACAGCAAGGCCCAAGTTGCATTAAAGTATTGAAGAGTGCAGCGGTGGAATCTCTGTGGAATGTGTCTGTGTTGCCAAAGAATCCTAGTGTTGAGTAGACAGATATACAGCTCAGATTTTGGTAAACAAGATTCAGATCAGAGCGGTGTTATGTAACGTGTTTGGACACAGCCCTCCTGATACAACTGCTGTGGTTTAGAGTCAGAAAACAACAGGCACTGGAGACAAATGCCTGTGGACATCTGACATGGTCTTTGAAAATCCCACGAGGCGGATTGTTTGCTGTATTACATGCCAGAAAATCAGACATTTTGTAGGAGGACAGAATAGATTAGCGTTGGCTACAACTTTCTCAGCTGAACATTAAATGTTATATTAAATGTATATCTATGTATATTTATATATATTCATTTACAATAGAGAACTAAAAGCTAGGAAAAATATGCAATTCAAAAATATAGCACTTAGTACTGGTGAAGTACTACAGTACAAAAGTAAAAATATTTGCCTAAATAATGTTAAAGGCCAACTGTTAAAGTGTAAAGAGTTTAAATAGATTTAAAAGTCAAAAAGATAAAAAATGAATCAAAGTAAAACAAAGGTTAGCCATAAATGATTTTAAAAAGCCGAAATTGCAATAACATTTTAACTCTTTCACATATTATCATTACCTACCTTTTTTTCCAGGAAGGTAATGATAATATGTGAACGTTTTAAAAATATGGAACATGGACAAATCTCTAAAAGTGGATAAGGATATCAGCGCAAAACACTTCACCAAGTCATCAAAGATAAATAAATGCTATTTATGCTCGACACAAATATCCCATCTCAGTAACCTTACCATAAAACTAAATGAATTCCGACCTTCTTCCCAAACAGTCTCCATTGATGACATCGAGTCGGTGCGTATGGGCCGACAGTCTGAGGGGCTCAACAAACACACACAACCCACCGATGAAGAACGCTGCTTCTCCATCATCTTCAAGGGCCGCAAGAAAAACCTGGACCTGATGGCCTCCAGTGGAGAGGAGGCCAAACAGTGGGTCGCGAGTCTGACCAAGATCATAAGCAACATGCTGAGCCTCAGCCGGCAGCAGAAGAACGAGCAGTATCCTTGTACTGAAGTCCCACAGGTTTTTGAGGGGTTTGTGACTTTCATACTTGGTGAGAATATTTGTGAACATGATCCTTAAATGTAAACCTCAGCTGGATTATTAACTGCATGAGGAAAGCAGACAAGAACGCAGACAACAAGATGAACCTGAAGGAGCTCAAGCACTTCCTGCGACACATCAACGTGGAGGTTGACGACAACTACGCCGAAGAGATCTTTAAGGCGAGTCAAAAAAAGCCCTTCCTATAAATCAGTAAGTTAAATCCAAGAACTTTGGTTGATCAGTTGCTTAATTTTGTCCTGTGTTGTGCAGAAATGCGACAAATCAAATTCAGGAACCCTGGAAGGACCGGAGATCAAACATTTCTACGAAATACTAACAGAGCGGGAGGAAATTGACGTGATTTATGGAAACTATGCTCAAACCGACGGTCAGATGAGCTCCAGGGACCTGTTGAACTT